AACTCAGAGGAAAACGAGAACGCAAAAGTGAAGAGATAGAAAGAGCGAGTGTTTTTATTGAAACATGAAAAGGCGGCAAAATCACAATGAATGTGCGTTGGACGACATGTTTGTCAGGCGGCGCACGCAGAAGCGACATGACCTAATGGCGCGTGTCAGGTACAGATCAATGAGGAAAAGACGCGTGGTGAAAACGGTTGAGAAACCGTGCATGATAGCTCATGCACAAATAGAACTCTTGGAGTTCTTAATTTAATAAGGCAAGAACCTCGGCTAGAGGGACGATCTTGGTTAAAGAACTTGAAAAAAGTTGGTTCTTGGTTCTTAGGCGTTGATAACGTAAAACTGCAGAGTCATGGGCATGAGAGCCGACATATGATGATTTCGGTCATGAAAGATGGAGTGAGTCCTAATCGAAGTGCTATATGGACAAACGACTTAGGTTTCATCACTTCAAGATGCCGAGGTAATAGAACCTAGGGGGTAGTTGTGGGGGCATATTTTCGTAAATGACAACACGTGGCCAAGGTGGCACCGAAGTGCCAACCGAGGTGCTACGTGTCTTGGTCATGGAGCCAAGGTAATCTCGGCTAGGCTGAGATTATTTGCGGAGATACCGGAATCTTAGATGAACGAATAAGAGATAAAAGTCCTAGAATGGGGGAGGACCTCAGTCTGGATAAAGATAAAACTCTTAGGGAGTTTATCTCTATCTATTTGAGAGTCTAGGATAAGTATTGAGCCAGAGTCCATTGAAGCTAGGCTTCTACAGGAATCTGATCAGTGTTGGCTATAAAAGTAAGGCACCCTCGTAGGTCTAAGGTACGTTTTTTGTATCTTGACTAGTGAGTTAAGCACTGTTTGTTATCTTTAAGAGATAATTGAATACTAACTTGATCGTCGGAGTGCCCCCGGGTGGACGAATCACCGCCGGAGTCTTATCTTTCTGTGACAGGTTGTTTGGGCGCAATCTATTCTACTGGTGTTCTCCAACTGAGTACCTGTTTGATAGTGTGGTCAGAAATCAACACACACAGTTATGATACTCAAATTAAAAGTGTTAAAAATAGAAAATTTTCCCAATAAATAAGACAATGAAAAAATATTTTCATTTTCTTGAGGAGCAAGTGTTTTCTGTGTGTAGTATGAGTCTTTTTCTATACATGTTGCAAGTCTTTTTTCATATATCATACTTGCATCAAGAAAGATTTCATTTATAATGCAATTATTTTTTTATTATTCCTCTGAAAATGCTATTACCCCTAAAAAAAATAAAATTTATTTTCAACTTGTCCAAGTTCTATTTTGAATGACCAATTTGGTTTCAATTTCATAAGAAATTAGAAATTGTTGATTAAACTTTGGGGCAACTACACAACAATGGAGATTAGAAAAATTATTTACAAAAAAAAAGGTGATAAATATTATAAATATTAATAATTAAAATCATAATTTTTTTTTAATTTTTTTGTAAATAATTTTCTTTATTCCACTAATGTCAAAAAAAAGGTGATAAATATTATAAATATTAATAATTAAAATCATAATTTTTTTTTAATTTTTTTGTAAATAATTTTCTATATCCCACTAATGTGTAATTCTCCCTTAAAATTTTCACTTTAAGTACTTACTTGTTTAGAAAAGCAAGAAAATATGTTTTTTGAAAAATTCAAAAAAAAAATGATTAGACACCAAAAAAAAAAAGTTAATGTAGCATTTTTTGGATTGTTTTTCAATTTATTATTATTTTTTATATTTTGAGATTTTTCTAATCTAGAAAAACTTTAAAAGAAAATATTGTTGACACGAATTTATTTAAATTTTTAAAAAAAATAATTACAATTTTTTTAGTCTTTGCCAAACAAAACCATAATATGAAGAAATTATTTTATTTTATATATTTTAAAATTTTAAAGCATACTTATAAAAATTTCAGAATACTTATGTATGTAAAATTAATTTTTATTAAACTAAATAATTTAGATATAGTGATGAATATTTTTACTATAACCATTGAGCCGAACTTAGTGGTGCCAGTGGGTAGACTCAACCTAAACAATCCTAGCCCAGTTTGAAATTTTTTAATGCTTGGAAAAAATATTTTTAAATTCAGTACAGACAAAAATTTAGAAGTTTAAATTAAATTTAAACAGGTTTAAGCAAAGATATCAAACAATTCAAGCAATTCAAAATCCAAATTATATATATAATTGTATTAAAATATTGATTATACATATAAATTATTATAGGCATTAGATGATATTTAGATCGTTAAATCATATTAAATATATTATATACAGAAGTAACACAATACAAAATTTTACTCCTTTTTTTTCACTCATAAATTGTAAATACCATTATAACGGTATCTCTCTTACATTTTATAAATTATTTATTTTGATATTATTAATGATTTTATAAATATATATATATATATATATATATAGTCTAATTTTAACAAATTAATTAGCTTAGCTGCACTAAAAAACATTGAAATTTATGTGCAATTCACGTAATTCAGGCAACTCGGATTTAATTCGGATCGAGTTTGGACAGACAAGCTCAAATTATAATTCAGGCTTGGGCGGGCCGGGGCAACTAAGTAGACCATATTATTTTGTAAAAACACAAAGGACTATCTTAATTGTAATAATGTTTTTAAAAATAATTCAGTGTGTTTGGTTTTAATTTTCTAGAAATTGAATTTTTGGAAGATTTTTTTCACAAATATTATATTTTTTAAGTGTATTTATGTTTGGTGTGTCTAAAAATTAAAAAAATTACTTAAAATATTAAAAAAGTTCATAGAAAACAAAAAAAATACAAAAAACAAAGAAGTAGAATTTTCAAATAGAATTTTTTGAAAAGTAATTTCTAGAAATCAAAACCAAATAAGCTGATTAGAATTCAATCATGGGACTATGCATATTTGATTAACCTAATTTTTTTTTAGGTAGATGATATGTTCGACAAATCCTATAATATGAATGGTTTGAATTATCGAAATAAGGTCAGAACAAATCCCCAAGGACAATGTGAATGTTCCGTGATATGAATATCCACACTGTAAAATATGAATATTCACATCATCAAATTACTAAGCATTCAAAAAATATTTATAAGGATAAAATTATCTATAAAATACCTTAGATTGGAGAATTGAGATTTGGTGAATTAAGGCTTCATTTGGCATCATAGGTTGGGGCTAATTTAGCCATAAAAATATAAAATATATTAAAAATTCAATAAGACAAAATGTCACAATCAAACCATAATCATTTTATTTTTTTCTCTCACAAAAGTAAAAAAAAATCAAAAAAATTAACCTACATGAATTTTTAGCCGGAACTAAAATAATTAAACTGTCAAAAACTAAAAAAAAGTCAATCCACATGCCAAAAGAAAAGTCAATCCACATGCCAAACGATAAATATCCAAATAATAAGACCTATTATTTGATCGGATTAGTTTTTTTTTTCGATAGTTAACTATCACACCATCCGTTTTGTTTATACAAAACTGATTTGATCATATAGTTAACGATATCCGATCAATGTGATTTTTTACAGACATATATTACTCGATGAGTTCTACAAAATGAACGGTTTGAATTATCAAAAAGAAACCCTTAGTGGGCCCTTAAGGGTCCAATATTACCACAAACTTTGTAACTTTACCTATGAAATTATTTTTTTGCCCCCAATACAAGTGCTTAATGGCCTGGTTTGACAAGGAGGGCTGTCACGTCCACCGTTCAATTTGTATTATAAATATATAATATAAAATATTTTTTTAATATTTTTTAATTATGAATAGTAATGTATTTTTTATTTTTTGTGTAACTTTTTGACTTTTTATCATTTTTGAAAGTTGTCAAACTTAGCCTAAGTATATATTATAAACTAATTAAAATATAAGCAATTGAAAAAAGGGCCTGGCTTTGGTCCAGTTCACCATCGGACTGGACCGTGCTGTTGGGCTCGTGGGGGCCCATCACGAGTCCCGTTTTGAAAATCTGAATCATTTAATGTGTAGAACTCGTCGAGTACTATATGCTGGTGAAAAATCACGTTGATCGAATATCGATAGCTATGTGATCAAAACAGTTTTTTATCAACCGTTAATTTATTCACTTTTTTTATACAAAACGGATTGGATCATATAGCTATCGATATCCAATCAACGTGATTTTTTATAGACATATAGTACTCGACGAGTTCTACATATTGAACGATTTAAATTTTCATAACGGGACCCGTGGTGGGCCCCATGAGCCCAACAGCACGGTCCAGTCCGATGATGGACTGGACCAAAGCCAGACCCTTGAAAAAAAGTACTTAAAAAAAATTTCTAATAAATTTCTTTATATATAATAATTATAATGGTAATATTATTTTTTGATAGGGCATGACTTCTGTCCAGTCCTTAATCGAACTGGACCGGGCTGTTGGGCCCGTGGAGGCCCACTACGGGTCCCGTTTTGATAATCTGAACCGTTCAATGTGTAGAACTCGTCGAGTACTATATGTCTGTAAAAAAATCACGTTAATCGGATATCGATAGCTATGTGATCAATCGGTTTTGTATAAAAAAAAAAATGGACGGTGAGTAAATTAACGGTTGACAAAAATCTGTTTTGATCACATAGTTATCGATATCCGATCAACGTGATTTTTTACAAGCATATATTACTCGACGAGTTCTGCACATTGACGGTTCAAATTATCAAAACGAGACCTATGATAAACCTCCACAGACTCAATAACATTATCTAATCTGATTAAAGACTGGACAAAAGCTATTTCCTTTTTGATGCTATGAATTTCTTTTTATTTTAATTTGAACTTTCACCAAAAATCGCATCAGCATCGACTCACATCACGGGAGGATTTTGGCATTTATGAGTGGTAAGCCCCACATAATTTAGGTGAACATGTCAAGTAGGCATTCGGTCATCTCCTTATCCAGGGCCTGTAGCATTATTGACTTTCTAAACGATCCACACATTCAAATCCTTTTTCACGTTTCAGAGGCAGAGAGAATAGTCTGTGAGAGAGAGAGAGGGAGAGGGAGATAGAGAGAGAGTGTATGTGTCATCTCTTCCTTATCTTTCTTACTCTATCTATCCGTAATCCATATATATAATAGCTTCGTATGTATAAATTCTGAGATATACATAAGACGTCACCGTAACGATATCGTTATCTCATTCCGTCCGTTTCACACTTCTCTTGATTCACCTATTGCGTTAACGCTCCTCACTTCTCTCTCTCTCTCTCTCAACCCCTCTTTTTTAGTTTCCAGGAAAATTTTCTGCAAAAACCCTCTTGGATTTGACTCATAATCTTACAATTTTGGGGTTGGATTTGAGAACCCATTTGGCTCTTTAATTCATAGGAGGCAATAATTTGAAGAAACTTGGAGGTCAAACCTTTAAGATCAAGAGGTTGGTTTCTGTTTCTTTGATTTTCTTTTTCTCATATGTAGGATCTTTGTATGTTTGATTTGTTGAGGGGTCAGTTCTTGAGCCGAACGTAGTTTCAACTTTGATGATTTTGAAGTGGGTAATTCTCATCCTTCTTTGATTTTCCTTGAAATTTGTTGACAACCCACTAATTCAGGGCAAAAACCCATTTGGAATTTGCTGATTTTGAAGTGGGAATTCTCATTCCTCCTTGATTTTCCTTGGAATTTGTTAACAACCCACTAATTTAGGTCAAAACCTCATTTGGGATATCATTTATATCTATTGATTTGAGAGGGGGGAGAAATTTTGTTGTATCAAATTCAGTTCTTTCTTCCAGGGAATACTTAATTTGATTTCTTTATTGCAAACTCATACTTTCAATTTTGAGAATTGTTGCAATTGTTCACTCCAGTTGTAGAGTTAGCCATTTAAGTATAATTTCAATTTTGAGAATTGTTACAATTGTTCACTCCAGTTGTAGAGTTAGCCATTTAAGTGCCAATCCTATTTCTCTCTCTTGAAATATGGATATCAGTAATGAGGTCAGTGTTGATCCATTCTCAATTGGACCTTCAACCATTGTGGGTAGGGCAATTGCTTTCAGAATCTTATTCTGCAAGTCAATTTCACATTTGAAGCATGAAATCTTTCATCTCCTATTACATTACTTCACTAGAGTTAAGAAGTATTTGAAGAACTCATTGATTCCGGTGATCTCATGGCTTCATCCCCGAAACCCGCAAGGGATCTTAGTAATGGTGACAGTTTGTGCTTTCTTGTTGAAACGATACACAAATGTAAAATCGAGGGCTGATATGGCTTATCGGAGGAAATTTTGGAGGAATATGATGAGAGCTGCATTGAGCTATGAGGAATGGGCTCATGCTGCTAAGATGTTGGAAAAAGAGAGCCCAAAATTGAATGAATCCGACCTTTATGATGAGGAATTGGTGAGGAATAAGCTCCAAGAGCTCCGGCACCGTAGAGAAAACTGTTCTCTGAGAGATATTATATTTTGTATGCGAGCTGACCTTGTCCGAAATCTTGGTAATATGTGCAACCCTGACTTACACAAGGGTAGGCTTCAAGTGCCCAAACTCATAAAGGAGTATATTGATGAGGTTTCAACTCAGATGAGAATGGTTTGTGACTCTGATTCAGAGGAGCTTCTCTTGGAGGAGAAGCTTGCTTTTATGCATGAAACAAGGCATGCCTTTGGGAGAACAGCTTTGCTTTTAAGTGGGGGTGCTTCTCTCGGATCTTTCCACGTGGGTGTGGTGAAAACCTTGGTTGAGCATAGGCTTTTGCCTCGGATTATTGCAGGGTCAAGTGTTGGATCAATTATGTGTTCTGTCGTAGCCACTAGGTCTTGGCCCGAGCTTCAAAGTTTCTTTGAGGATTCTTGGCACTCTTTGCGGTTTTTTGATCAAATGGGTGGGATTTTTGCAGTTTGCCGGAGGATTATGACCCGAGGAGCAGTTCATGAGATCAGACAGTTACAGATGATGTTAAGGCATCTTACCAATAATCTTACATTCCAAGAAGCTTATGACATGACTGGTCGAATTCTAGGGATCACAGTTTGCTCCCTAAGGAAGCATGAACCTCCGAGATGCCTTAATTACCTAACTTCACCTCATGTTGTCATATGGAGTGCGGTGACTGCTTCTTGTGCCTTTCCTGGCCTTTTTGAAGCTCAGGAACTAATGGCAAAGGATAGAAGTGGAGAAATTGTTCCATATCACCCACCATTTCATTTTGTTCCTGGTGAGGGTTCAGGCTCATCTGCCCGCCAGTGGAGGGATGGTAGCTTGGAGATTGATCTACCCATGATGCAGTTGAAGGAGCTGTTCAATGTCAATCATTTTATTGTGAGTCAAGCAAATCCTCATATTGCACCATTACTGAGGCTGAAGGAGGTTGTGAGAGCTTATGGGGGCAACTTTGCTGCCAAGGTGTGTGCTAACGGACTTGAGTTGTTGCCTTTTTGATCTTTTATGCATATTGCCTAACATTTTTGTGTTGCATCGATGGTTGCTGTATCTAAACACTCTTGAGGATGCCCCTGCATTTTTTCCCCTTTTTTTGTTATATTTCTCTACTCTATTCTTTGTTCTTACGTATAGAGAATTAATAGAATAGAAAAGGTGAGTGTGGAGGATAGCAGAGTTTATGCTTGTTAACCTGTTGCTAGAGAGTGCATAACTTTGAATCTCGCTAAAATGGGTAGCAATGCAGCTCAAAAGGGTTTCTAGCAAATCTTACCCGATATGGTAATTTGCTTATTGTCATTTGTACTCTTATTCTGTATGCTTTGAACTTCCAGCTGCTGATTTTAGGTCTACAAACTGGAGAATGATTATATACGCCAATCAATTGCATATGTAGGCTACAAACTGAAGAATGATTAATAAAATTTAAAAAGCGATTGTTGATGTTTTTTTTTTTTTTTTTGCTGGGAAGACCATATGTGCACCTTTTCCATTTTCTTTTCGGTGAAGTATACTTTTAATGATTCTTGCTCTTTAACAATGCAGCTAGCTCATCTAGTTGAGATGGAGGTGAAACACAGATGCAACCAGATATTGGAACTTGGTTTTCCACTAGGAGGCATCGCCAAGCTGTTTGCTCAAGATTGGGAGGGTGATGTCACTGTTGTAATGCCTGCTACCCTAGCTCAAGTACGTACAAAGTGATATCTTGATTTTGTTTGAATTTGAGAAGATGAACCATTAATTACAAGAAAGGAGAAAACAAGAGGAGAATGACCTCTCCTCAAATAGTGATACAACTGCAGTGGATGATCTTGTCAGATGAATAATAGATCTGTCTAGATATCCTTCATAAAAAAAAAATATAATTTTAATTTGAGTCCAATGGTGTCCTTGAGCACATGGGGAGTAGGCGTGTGCCACCACCCCTTGTTCCTCTACCAAGTTTGAATCCATTGGGGACAAAACTGGGTGCGCCTTTATTTATTTATTTATTTTATAATACAGACTTGACATGGTAAATGTTTATTTTCTTAAATGTCATTTTTGATCCAGGTCTAAGGTTCCCCTAACAAAAAAATAAAATAAATCTTTGATACATTAAACTGTCTAGAAACACACATGATCAAACAACAAACTATTGTTTTCTAAATAATTTCTAGTGTCTTCACCTAATTGGCCTTAGTTTACTTCCTCTGAAATTTTCTCTCAACTGCATTTTCTATTTATAAATCTCGATTTCAAATTTTTTTGAAAGTTAAAATCAGGTTTCTGTTCAAAATTGCATTTGTTTTTGAAGCTTCTCATATTGCTGTGTGTCCATTCTTGTGGATAGATTATTATTGTATTCTGGCGAAATTAACTAGTTATTTGTTCTTCTGAATCTTCTTGTCAATTTCAGTACTCAAAAATCATACAGAATCCATCTCATTTGGAGCTTCAAAAGGCATCTAACCAAGGAAGGAGGTGCACTTGGGAGAAGCTCTCAGCCATAAAAGCCAATTGTGGGATTGAGCTTGCTCTTGACGAGTGCGTAGCAATTCTAAACCACATGCGTAGACTAAAACGAAGCGCTGAGCGAGCTGCTGCTTCATCTCACAACCTAGCAAGCACAGTCCGATTCAATGCTTCTAGTAGAATTCCTTCATGGAACCGTATCGCACGTGAGAACTCAGCTGGGTCCCTCGAGGAAGAAGCCCTTGTAGACATTGCTTCCGCAGGAGGTCATACTCTTCGGAATTCGCGGACCCACCGGATCATACATGATGGAAGTGATAGTGAATCCGAGAGTGTTGATCAAAATACTTGGACAAGATCTGGTGGTCCTTTGATGAGGACAACTTCAGCGGATCAGTTTGTTGACTTTGTCCAAAATTTGGACATCGATGGAAAATTGAGCAAAGGAATGATGGGTCATCCCAATAATTTCGTGATTCAGAGTTTAAGGGTAACAGCACCGGATAGAAGCTCTAACAGAGAGTTTGAACCGAGGGATTTTAGTGACAGAGTTCCGATGAACAATTCTAGCATTATGGTCAATGAAGGTGACCTGTTACAGCCCGAGAGGATCCATAACGGTATTGTTTTCAATGTTGTGAAGAAGGAAGATTTCACGCCAACAAATAGGAGTCATGATGATTCGGAAAACAACAGCCCAAGGCAGATTTCAGTTGCTGAATATATGCAACTTGACTGTCCAGAAAAGGAAATTGATGCGAGCTCAGAATCTGAATGTGACAACAACGATGTTAGCACAGAAAATTGTTTTGATGAAGCAGATTCTGGTTCTCACCCCAAGGATTGTTCTGGTCTTGGTGGTGATGATAATGATAACAGTGTTGTGGATGGTTGAGATTTGAGCATGATTTCAGTTTGGTAATGTGAAATTTTACTGTGAGCAGAAGAGTAGGGAATTTTCTCACTTACAACAGAAAAGGGAGAAGAAAGCGATTCATACAACGAAAGACATCACAGAAAAGCATTGACACGTTGATTTGGGAGTGACACTTTGTAAATAAGCAGTTCCGCAATGCCGCTAAACACTGGTTGTTTGCTGCAATGGAAGAAGTAGGGTGACTGTAAAATAACCGTGTTTGCGCGGATGGATGGTTGTTTTCTAAGTTCAGAATCAGATAATCCATTGTTCGATAAGCTGTAAGTTTTAGCTAACCTTGGTTGGCATTATATTATGATTTAGCTTTGTACTGTTATCAAATTTCTGTAAATTTCTACTTATTCAAATAATTAAAATCTTGTAAAACAGGCATGTATGATGATATTTTTTCCACACTATAACCTGAAGATTTTTTCGTTTGGTGCTAAAAGTATCACACAAAAATTACTTGCACAAATGCTCCACACACACTCGATTATAAGTATCTAGGAAGCACAGGTAAGGTACGATACGGATACGGTGATACGATAAAATTTGAAAAAGTAAGATACGGATACGGAGGGGATACGTTCATAAAAAATATTATTTTTACAATTTTTAGTAATGTAGCATACATAAAAATAAAACTTCAACAATTTTTAATAATGTAGCATACATAAAAATAAAACTTTAACAACTTTTAGTAATGTAACATATAAAAATAAAACTTAAAACAAAAGACAACTTGATAAAAAAAGAAAGATTTCTAGCATCACCCATAACAACCATAATGCAATTCAAATTAAGGGAAAAAAAATTTACAAAGTTTATTTATTTATCAATAAATTTATTTATTTATTTATCCACAGTTTATAATTTTATAAGTTTACAAAGTTCATTAATAAGTTTATTTATTTATTTATTAATAAATTTTTTATCTTATTTGATTTATTTTGTTTTATCAGATCATACCGAATGAGTACATACAAAGTTTTTTTTTTTTATCTTATTTGATTTATTTTATTTTATTTACAAAGTATACATAAAAAAATAAATAAATAAACAAATATGTAAACTTAATCTACACTTACGGGTCATTTTTTTTGTATGTATACTCTAGGAGATGAGATCGACAGACAGACGATATAGATAAAAGGGAGAGGGAGAGAGAGATCGACCGAGAGGGGGGGAGATGAGATCGAGATCTGTCCATCTCCACCACAAGAAGTACACAGAGTTGTCAGAACCGGGAGATGAGATCGAGATCGAGATCGAGATCGAGATCTGTCCATCTCCACCTAGACCAGACAGATCGAGCGAGAGAGAGAGAGAGAGAGAGAGTGAGATCGAGCGAGAGGGAGCGAAAGGGAGAGAGAGGGACGAACCTGATCGATGACCATCGAGCTGCTGATCGACGAACCTGAGCGAGAGACGACGACGAACTCCTCCTCCTTCGCAGCTGGTCGCTGTTCGACCTTAATAAGTTTGATTGATTATTTTTATTTTTATTTTTTTATTTTACCTTATTCTGATATTTTACACTTGATCCCCATTTTAAGTTTTTGAAATTATTTTTTTGTCCCGCCGTATCCCGACCGTATCCTCCCGTATCCCAAGCATATCCGAAATTCAAAAATTAAAAAAAAAAAATAGGATACTTCTTTTCCCGTATCTAATACGTATCCCGCCGTATCTGGCGCGTATCGGTATCCGATACGCGTACGGGAGCCATTTCGGAGTATCCGTACTTCATAAATAAGTATTTATATTATTATATACATATATAATCAAGCCGAACTCAAATTATTTACGAATAAATCAGTTCAATCATATATGCAACTAGAATAATTTAAAGAAGAAAATGGTAGCAAGGAAAAAAATTGCAAGGCCCAAATTAATTCAAACTTGGATGAATCACGCTTAGATTCAAACATATCTTATATGCTTTAAATTGAATTAAAAAAAATTATACGAGTGAATCACACTCCTCTAATAAATAAATAAATAAACTCAGACCTCCCAATGATGGAGTAACACTAGAATGATGAGGATTACCCTCTAATCCATACCCATACGACCTATTACATAATATCTAATATGTCACATGTATATACGAGTAACAACCTATATAATGATGGAATAATAGGTTATCCTTACTTATTCCTAACAAGATGATTTAAATTCAAACCAACGGAGTCATACCACCATAAATGTTCAAATCCGTGTTTGAAAGCCGACCTAATTTTCCTACAAAATCAAAACCATGCATGTATGTGTTGATGCAGGACCTTCCAAAATCACTTGGTTGGGAAGTAGGGTGTTCGCGGCTCGGTTGCGGCCAGAGAACTTTTAATTTACTATCTGTCCACTGGATAGATGGATTGAAAAAAAATCAATCCGCATCTTTCCACCGGATTAACGGATGCGGATTGAGCGTATTAACAGATAGATGCGAATCGGTTTGACGGTTTAAATTTTTATAAATTTTAAACATAATACAACACCTTGTCAATATTTTTTTTATATAACAATACAACTCAACATAACTAAAAGAATATCAAGTAAATTGTCAAATACCAATAATAATTATATATAAGAAAACCATATATTATCAAAACTATTTCATTACTTTTTTTAATCAAAAATTATTTAATTTGATTTTTTTTTAAATGACAAAATTAAAACTTATATTTTCCACACAAAAATACCAAATATCAACACTTGTCATTTGATAAAAGGATTTCTAAATTGAAAATAAAATAGAATATCTAATTTTTTTTTTAATTGGAAACACAAACAAAATATGTAAACAAATTGAAAATACAAAGTCTTACAAATTACAAGGAGTGCTCGCGGTTCGGCAGTTCAGTTGCAGCCAAAAGAATCTCAAATCCGTCATCCGTCCAAAACTAAGCGGATTGAAAAAAAATCAATTCACAATCGTCCACTCGTCATCATGCATCTGTCCAAAATACAGCAGATTAATTCGATTCAATCGATTTAGACAAGGAAAAAAAAATCTGCAGCTCACCTCTAGTTAGGAGGGCACACAAGAAGTTTGAATGTTAAAAGCACCAATATATGAAGAATAAAAAGCAGTGGATGCCAATGAGTCCAACATCGTCATTTGTTACTTTCTCTGTCAAAAGCATGAATGAATGTAGAAATATCACATTTTGTAGCAATTGGTGGTTCCAAACAAACCAGATGTCCATACACTCCTCTCCTATGTTAGGTGCGTGTGATGTTTGGCAGTGAAGTTGATTGAAGTGAACATCCCACGTTTTGAGGTTTACAGTGTGCTCTCAAAACCTTATCGTGTGCTAGTATTATTTGTCGGCCAATCTCTATCCCAATAATGCCCATAAAATCTCCCCCAACCAATATTGTGGACTCACTTATTTATTAGAAGTTTTACTAATTACACATAATTAAATCACATAATGAATCATGTAATAGAGGTTAAAATAAGAATGCAAACGAGACTGGTCGAGTTAAGTAGTAATTTATCTAAATTGACTTAAAAATTTAACGTCTTTAAAAATGTATTTAAGTTTGACTAATAGTCAATAATATCGAATTAAGTAGTAGATGTTTAAGTTTAACAAATTTTTAAATTAATTTAAACTTAACTTATTTACATAATAAATCAAACAAATTTTTAACGAATTAAAAATGAGTAGAGCTCTAAGTAATTTGGTTCGTTTTTACAACCTTAAATAATAGGCGTAATAATTTTTTCATATAAAAAGTGGTGTCATTAATTAAAATATTATTTTCCAAGTTTCTCTGCAATAAATTTTTTTACTAGCTTATTTATTTATTTTTGCCTTGTAAAACCCTTTTTGATATAAATTCTCAAAATTATTATTAATTTTTTTTTTTTATATTCAAAAATTGGATATGTAGATAAGCTACTCCAACATATCCGTCAAGAAGTATTGCTCCCTTAACACCTACAGCATATCTGCAGAAAACCCGACCACACTTATGCCAGGACCGAAGCTTAGGCCCCCTGCCCCATTACACCTACGTCGGGGCCAAAACTTAGACTCCCTACCCCACCACACCTATGTTGGGACCGAAACTTAAACCCGCCGTGCGTTTCAAATGTTAAAGAATATGTTTAATTCTAATAAAAGGTTATGAAAATTCGAACCCAAGCCTTTAGCGAGAAATTCAAAAGTTTTATCCACTGAACCAACCCCTCTTGATTATTAAAAAAAAAAAATTATGAACAATTAAAATATAGAGTAATGTTAAGAATTTAAAAAATATTATTAAAAATTGTACTAGCATTTATCTAAAAATTATGGGATAATTATTGTAAAGGTGTGGTTTAGTTTTATCTGTCATTCTTCAGTACAACAATGATTCATCTCACTAAAAACATCACTACTAATAGCACTAATGCATTAAAAAAGTAAAAATAAAAAATACAATTCCAAGACCAAAACATCACATCATTAATGACGGAACCCATTGTCACCTAATTAGTGAGAGCACTAATTAATGCTCCCAAACATTTTTCTTCTTTAGTATAAGCTAATAATCAAGAATGGGGTTAGTCTGAGGAGTCACATCAAGAACTCTAGAACTTTCGATAGCTACAAACAAATAAACCAAACTGTTTTCTGTTAAAAAAAAAAACTGTTTTCTACTTATGATTTTGTTTTCTCTCTCTGTGCTGTGTGTGTGTGATGAGTCAGAAAACTGCAATGCGTATTCGTTTCAACATCTCAATAATTTCCGTACCACAACATCACATCACAAAATATCAAAGCAATGCAATCATCCTTCATATCTAGAACTTTCCATAGCTTCAAGGAGCCAAACTATTTAGGAGTGTGACTTCTGTGTTCTTCTTTTTTGATTCAATTCGTCTGTGATCATGAGATGTTATTTGGCGATGTTAAGACATCGCCACGTAAGGTGCCTTAGGTGTGAAAATATGTAAAATTAGGTGTGAAAAGATGTAAAATTTACGTTTTCATACAAGTTATGAAAAATTAAAAAAAAATAATAATCAATGATTGATGAGAAACATTAGCTTATTTTGGAAAGATGATAAAAAGTAATTTTTTTACTTTTAATCAAGTTTTGATTTTTTTAGACAAATGATTTGAAAAGTTGATAAAAAATTACTTTTAATTTTTTTGATTAATATTTGTTTATGATGTCAAATCACAATAAAATGATCAAATTAGCCCTATTAATTTAAAATATTAACAACTTCAATCATGTAGCACATTTTGACTCTTGAGGGAAAGAATTATAATTTTACCAGTAGCTAAAAACCAACTTCCCAAATGAAAAAAATAGGAAGTTGGTAAAGAGTTACTTTTGGCTTTTTTGATTAATATTTGTTTATGATGTCAAATCACAATAAAATGACCAAACTACCCCCATTAATT